TTTTCTAATGGCAATCATCTTGCGAAGGATCATAGTAATCTCCTTTGCTTTCAAAGTAATACTTTAGCTGCGGTGAAGTGATATCTGTTTTTTAATCCTGATAGATTCTGGAGGTATTCTCGCCGAAAGTCGTGTTGATTTGGTCAGGATTTTACTTGAATGCCGTACCAAGATCTTTTCAAGCGATAACTTACTTTATTTATTGCTGTGCTTCGAGTAAATATTACATAACTTTTTTCGGCATCTTACCCAAGTAGCAGAGGTTGCAACAACTCGCAACAAAATCGCTTGATTCTTGCAACTAATAGATTGATGTGCAGATTGCCCACTCTCCCCCCCCGAAGGAGCTATCATTGTCGGAACTAGTTGCAATTAAGTTGAAATATGTTTCAACTTCAAAGTATTGCTGGTTGCCTATCTTTAGATTTTAAACAACTTTGGTGTCGCAATTTTGCAATCTCAGCAGGTCGCAAGTTTGTCTTCCGATCAGATCGTCGAAAATCAGCACTTATCGACCGAAAGTTGACCGAAAGTTGCAATTATGTTGCACAAATACCAACATTGTTTCAACTTGTTGCAACTTTTACATTGAAAAATGCTACTTGAGTATTGGTTAACTTTTTTCAGCATTGATTTGCTATTATTACTTGACGTAAACAGTAAAGTTTTGTCAATAATAATCTCGTATGGAGAGCTGAACTCCTCTTCGGTGACTACTATAAGAGACTACCTATTACTATGTTGTAGACAAATCCCGTAATTTCGACACATCGCGATCTGTCTAGACAAATCGCGATTTGTCCAGTCATATATCGCGATGTGTCTAGCGCCGTTTAGACAAATCCAGAATTTGAAAAATAAATCGGGATTTGTCCAGACACATCGCGAAGTGGTCGGACACTTTGCGATCTGTCTTCCGACTCTTTGGACAGATCGGTAAAAGTGGATGCTAGTAATGTAATTGGTGTGATCCTAAGTGTCAACGATGGTTTCTACAAAATTGGTACAAAGCAAGGCCAAAGCGTTCTCCCGTAACCAAAAATTCTAGTGTAAAGAATCGTTTCTGACATCCGAGGACGTTCCAAAGGGCAAAGACATAAGCATCCGCAGTGTCAGCCTTCAAACATCTCTGACCGGAGGGCAAAGATTCTTTCATTGTCAGTGCAAAACTAAGTGCGAGACAAACCGATGCAAGTGCAAGAAAGCAAATGTGTTGTGCAACTCTAAGTGCCATGGTGCGATGACTTGCACTAACAAATAACGTGAGACCCTAGTTTTTCTAATTTTTTTAAATAAAATGTTTAAATTTTTAAAATAATTTTTTATTCGACAATGACTATTTTTAAAATAATTTTTAAGCAGTTTCAAAAGTGTAAAATAAGAAACACATTGGATCAGCACATCTTTTAGGTAAGAGATAAGTGTTTAACTCCTTCTTTAATTTTTCTTTCGATCATATTTTATATCATTATATTTCCGTATTTCTTTCGATAATACTTTTAACGATTTGTCCAAAGAGTCGGAAGACAGATCGCGAAGTGTCCGACCACTTCGCGATGTGTCTGGACAAATCCCGATTTACTTTTCAAATTCTGGATTTGTCTAAACGGTGCTAGACACATCGCGATATGACTGGACAAATCGCGATTTGTCTAGACAGACCGCGATGTGTCCAAATTACGGGATTTGTCTACAACAACTATACTTCGGAGAATATATATTCTCCTGCTATAAAATCATCATACCTACTACGAAATGGAAGTACCTATCTTACTTTTACAACAACATTTTAACGGCGTAAGTCGCAATCACATATCTCGTTTGCGGTGTTTGAAAATCTCCGTCTCTATTTTATTTTTTTAAGGAACAAATTGAATATCATTCCTTGAAGTTTCTGCAGAATTTTCTTTGCACAGAAAAGGAAAATCTTGGCAGTTTTAAAAAATTGCTGTTGAGTAGTTTTCCGTTTAAATAATAAAGTATAACAGGAATTCTGCGACGTCGCAAACCGAGTTTTGTGATTGCCAAATTACACGGTCGATTTGCTCAGTGAGCGCTTGCTCCCAGTTAAAATTTTAAGTTTTTCCTCAGTCTTGCTTGCATTCTTCAACATTCACTCCAAAATGCGGATAACAAAGCAAGTAAAGAATGCGATGGATCATTGTCGTGGTTGTTTGTGCTGCAAAATTTTAGTGTAAATTTGATTCCTTTCTTATCTAACTCAATTTACACCGATATGCCTGCCTTATATGATGGGTTTGGCAGCTAAATAAGGGACCCAACAGTTGACATTTTGTAAATTTGAGTTTTCTTTACAGAGATTTCTGTCAAACAAAACGAATTTTCGATCTTTTAAACGCCGGGGACCACTAAGATTACTCCTGAAATCGACTCTAAAGCGTCAAAATAGGGGGATCCGACCTTTTAAACGCCTCAAATCGACAAATTTCACCTGAGTTATCGCAGTTGAAAACAGGTCGTAAATCATCAGTCTGTCTCTCTCTACGGCCGTTTAGCTGTTAACAGACAAGAATCATCTTGAACAATCTTGAATTTTTACATTTTTCTCGTTGAAACTCATGATATTCCCTCTTACCCATGTAGCATTTTTCAATGTAAAAGTTGCGAAAAGTTTAAACAATGTTGGTATTTGTGCAACATAGTTGCAACTTTCGGTCCTTTTTTGGTCGATGCTTAAGTGCTGATTTTCAGCGACCTGATCGGAAAACAAAGTTGCGACCTGCTGAGATTGCAAAATTGCGGCACCAAAGTTGTTTAAAATCTAAAGATAGGTCACCAGCAACACTTTGAAGTTGAAACATATTTCAACTTGATTCAAATTGCAACTAGTTCCAACATTCATAACTCCTTCGGGGGAGAGAGTACGCAATCTGCACATCAATCTATTAGTTCCAAGATTCAAACGATTTTGTTGCAAGTTGTTGCAACCTCTGCTACTTGGGTGACAAATAAAATTTATCAAGAAAAGTTAGTTTCCAATAACACCAAACTATTTCTATGCGCTCATGGATCGACAGAGTCTTAATTAGTGATGTGTATAGCTTCATGGTGAAACGTTACCATTTTACATACAGCATTTTTTCAATCAACGCTCAGTCTATCCTTAATGCGATGATTGTTGTCAATTTTTTCCCCAATACCGCACGACCTTACGCTCATGAACAGAGACAGATAAAGAAAAGTGATGACTTGAGTTTATCTTTCTCTGAATCTCATGGTTTTGCATCCAAAGTCATCGGGGGTCGTCTTGTTCCCCAGCCCCAAGTAGCATTTTTCAACGGAAAAATCGCGATTTTATCGCCGATAAAGTCGCGATTATCCTCGATTTTATCGGCGATAAAATCGCTAGGATCATCAACATTTGAGCGATTATCCTCGATCTTTTCGCGATTTTATTGCGATTTTATCGGCCCGAAAAAATTGCGATTTTATCGCGATAAGATCGAGGATGATCGCTCAGATGTTGATGATCCTAGCGATTGATAAAATCGCCAAAAAAAAGGGGTTAAAGTTGTCAGCCGATTGCCGTTAGGTTCAGCCGTCAGGTCCTTTGACGAAGACGAGCGTAAAATCCCCGGAGCCTCCGCGGGGATTCGAACCCCAATCGCTACGGTGGAAGGCCAGCACATTGTCACTATGCTATGACCGCTATATGACTTGCGTGTGCGAATTGAAGCCTCTTATACATGGATCGGCGCTTCGCAACCTCACAACTTATGTCTTTGCGTTGACTGACACCGATTTTTCATTGGGTTTTTTTTTTTTTTAATTTTCCCTCCTCTGTATTTTATTTCATACCTTGAAATACGGTTGGTAAAATAAGGTTCTATTGGTAATCTCATCATTCTGTCTCTGTAAAATTACCAATAATAGTGAGATGGCAAAGTTACCGATGGACCTTGGGAAAAACGCCAATAGTTTTTATCGACTGTGGTAGAATTACCGAGATAAAATGGTAAAGTTACCGGGGATTGATTACCAATAAAAGTGGTATTCTTACCTGAAAAAATCAGTAAAAATACCGGTTTTCAGGTAAGCTTACCAGTCTGTCTTTGTAACATTATACTAATAATTGATAAAAAAAAATGAGATGGTTAAGTTACCAACGGATCTCGGTAAAAACGGCGGCGGCGGAATAGAAACATCTTTCATATGCGTCATTCATGCGTTAATGAAAAATTGCAATTTATTGCAATTTTATCTCTATAAAATCGCGTTCGATAATATCGCGATTTTGTTGCAATTTATCGCGATTTTTCTCCCGATAATATTGCAATAAATCGCGACGTCGATAAAATCGCGATACATTCTCCAATTAAATCGCAATTTATCGCGATCACTGCTACTTGGGGCTATGCAGATTTCTTCAGATAGCTCGCTCAGTCTGCCTCCTATGTGAAGTCTAATCATGGTTTATTTATTACCGCAGTAAGATCCTCTTTGCCTCACAATATTTAAAAGTGTATTTTGCAGTTGGAAAATACAGTGTTTTTCTCGCAGCGTCCAAACTACACTTTTCTCATTTGACGGCTAACAAGAGCTTATGATGTGAGCGATTGCACAGCATAATAGATCAGATCACCCAGGACGTCATCATGCTTTTCCAGAACTCTTGTTGTTTATAAGATTAATGGGCTCCATTAATTAATGTGTAACATCTTTGTGGAAAAGTCCTTCGATAGTCCGTCAGAGCATCGGAGGAGGATTCGCATTCGCTTCAAGCCTGGCACTCCATCTGCAAAATCCTATGTCCTCTCGGGACAGTTTCTTTACCAAGTTATTCATTCGCAGAATGTAAAGCAAAGTCTTCTTATATTGTAAGTACATAAAACCAGTTAATAAGTTTCGACACACAAAAATTTCGAGATGAAACACTGCTTTGATTTTATTCCCGGTTGGTATGTTTCGAGTTGAGGGACATTTTTATTGATTGCACACAATGAAGGGTTAATTTTTTTCTTAACGTTTGTTTATCCTAGGTTGTTAACCTATTAAACGACTTGTACAGCACATTTGATCGAGTTATTGGATTTTACGACGTCTACAAGGTAAGTGATCAATAAAATGGAAACAAAATTTTGTTATAGCTGTAGAGATTAAGTCGCTAAGTCGAATAGCGGTATCGCCGAGCAGTGGCATGCTCACTCAAAATACACTAAAAACCAGCGTCTTACCAAACCAGAGGACCTACTAAACTTTGACGCCGGATAAGTTCACCTTCCATCCTAGTATAGGCCACACGAGCTGCGGCGTGGTCGAATTCGTGAAAGAAAGACGACGGTCCAATCTTATGGGAAAACTGGGCTCGGTGAAATCGGCTACTTTTTTTATATGTTGTAAGTCTTAACCTACTGATCAAAAGTGTCAATGGTCGTCTCTCCCTATCTCCAAGTTTTCCCCCCCCCCCCCAATTATGTGGGTCAAAGTTGCCAATTCAGCATATAATTGGTAGTTATGACACCGGGATTTATTGGTCGCCTACCTATAAGATTCTTTAATGGTTTTTTATTCTATTCTATCCTCTAAATAGGCTAGGGACCACCCAAGCTAAAAAACTGAACAATTTTGCCGTATGGGAAGGAGGGAGGGGTGTTGTTAACGCCACCCATTTCAGCGGCTACGAATCGCATTAAACTGATTCTTTCGCCGTGTTTTGGAGAATTCTTTATGCAAATGATTGCGACTGCATCTTGAAAGGTCGACCAAGATGCAGCTCAGAATATACCCCGGGGGGGGGGGGGGGATCGAACTCAAGCAGCGAAACTGGCTTGCGCGGGTCGCATCAAACCGATCGTTTCGCCATGTTTTGGAGACTTTTTTTTATCCCAATGAGGCCGACTGCATTTCGAGTCGTTGACTGAGATGGAGTACGGAATATATCCCAAGTAGCAGAGGTTGCAACAACTTGCAACGAAATCGTTTGAATCTTGGAACTAATAGATTGATGTGCAGATTGCCTACTCTCTCCCCCAAAGGAGTTATTAATGTTGGAACTAGTTGCAATTAAGTTGAAATATGTTTCAACTTCAAAGTATTGCTGGTTGCCTATCTTTAGATTTTAAACAACTTTGGTTCAGCAATTTTGCAATATCAGCAGGTTGCAACTTTGTCTTCCGATCACATCGCCGAAAATCGGCACTTATCGACCAAAAGTTGACCGAAAGTTGCAACTTTGTTGCAACAAATACCAACATTGTTTCAACTTTTTGCAATTTTTACATTGAAAAATGTTACTTGGGATTGTAGGAGAAAGGAGTTCTCTCCATCCGAACCCTCCGTCGCAATAGGATCTCTCAGCATAGGTCAGTGTGGCACTCACACTAGTATAGTGGCACTTTTACTGAAGCGAGGTCGATCAAAATGTAATACCATTTATAACGCATTATTCAATTTTCAGCATTTCCTGATGCATCTCAGAATTTTGGTGAGGAGAGGGGTTAGTTCCTTTTGAAAAGAAAAAAAAAGTATTAAAAAGAAGAAATACTTACATGACCATGTTTTTTCTTACATTTTCGAATTTTATAAAAAAAATCTCAGCGAGCTCCCCTCATTCAATGCAATGAGGGGTTCTAGGATTTGATCCATTACTAATGGAGCTCCGGTAGGAAGAATGAAAAACCAGAACCGGTCGAGTACCCTCAGAACCGATTGCACTGCATAGATTGCCTCCCACGGATTGCATTATAAGTACTTGTGTATCGTATACAATCTAATATGGCATCTTCTGTAATAGCATCATTTAGGGTAATTACCTCTTAGAAGCACTCTCCAGAAACGGAGATTAATCGCTACCTAGTTCGTAGATAATATCATTGTTGATTGTAAATTGGTTCAATATCGGCCGATAAACTTTTCTTTATCATTAAAGTCAGATTCATCTAACACTAAGATTCACGTCGGTTTGCTAAGTTTGCGTTACTAGATTACCCTACTATCGCTTCCCTCCACTCCATGCTGTTCAGTTCTGTTTTTTCTTTTCTATATTAGATTTTGTCATCATCCACATATACGGGAAAAGAGAACTTGGTTCCCACAAACAATTAGTTTTTAGTGGAATCAATTTTGTTAGGTTGGGTCGAGAAATTGGCCATCATATCGGCCTCATTGGGATAAAAAAGTCTCCAAAACATGGCGAAATAATTAATCGGTTTAATGTAGAATCCCTTAATACTGAGAGTAAAGACAATAAGAATCCATTTCTGATTGGTTCCCGTATTTTTGGCCTTCACAGTGTCACCAACGGGAATAAAGATTTAAGTTTCACCAATTGCAAAGATAATAAACTGGGATGGACCGGGACATATTGGGGGTACGGCAAAGAACAAATGGAATGAGAGGGGGGGGGTAGCAGAGGTATCAGATATTTTAACAAGCTTCCCAAGCCATTAAAAGAACTTTTCATTAAATCAGAAAATTCAAATCTATTCCTAAATAACATAAAAAATTACTTCATAGAAAACCCTTTTTACGAGTTAAAAGAATATCTCGACGCAAATCTCCCCAATCCCTAAATTGCCTGAATGTATAGTCCCCTAAGTCTTAAGTCTTAGTTCTTCATTTACTGTTTTTTTTTTATTTGTTTGTTAAAATTTTTGTTACATTTATTTGATGTTAAATTTTGTTCCATTATATTATTTGACGAGTGTTAAGCTCATAAATTTGTATGAATTTCATGAGGCTGTTGCATTAATAAATATATTATTATTAGGTATTATATTATTATTATTATATTATTATTATTATTATTATTATATTATTATTATTATTATATTATTATAGTATTATTATTATATTATTATTATTATTATTATTATTATTATTATTATTTTGTATATTTTTGATATTTTTGCCAGCAACACGGATTTGACGCTAGATGTCCAAAAATTGGTACAAACCTAGCGCATACCTTACTGATTAAGGGAAAATTTTTGTTTTTCTACCAGGTCACTCTCACTTATTCGCTGGTTTATTGCCCAAACTCTCCGCTCGGAAGCTCTAAAAATCGAAATTTCGCCGTTTTTTAACGTATAGTGAACTTTTAGAGCAACCTATAATGGGAGTAAAAATCCGAAAATTTGTGGGAAGCAAGTCCATACCATCAGTATGGAAGGGAAAATGTCAGAAAACTCCCAGGTCTTTCATTTTCTGCCAAGCTATGCCCACAATGGTGGAGAACCCGTCAAAAATAGCTCAATTTTGACCGTTTTTTCGCGTTCGGAAATTTATTGGACGCCCTGTAATGACAATGAAGGTCCGAAATTTTGTGGAAAGTAAGTTCATACCGTTTGTATGGAATAAAAGATTTTACTTGGTTTCTACGTCTTATATTCTTCGTCCTGCGATACCCGAAATGGCAGCGAAAACGTCAAAAATAGGTACCTCAAATTGGCCGTTTTTGGAGAATTTTTTTGAACACCTTGTAGTGGCAGTGGAGGTCCGAAAATTTGTACAAAGTAAGTTCATACCCTCCGCAAGGAATAAAAAAATCTACTTGGATCCTATGTCTCCTACATTCCTCGTTGTGCGGTGCCCGCAATCACTTATTCGAAAACGTCAAAAATACCTCAATTCGTCCGTTTCTTCAATGGCGAAATTTATTAGACACCCTGTAATTACTCTGGATGTTCGAAAATTGGGGGAAAGCAAGTCCGTACCACTAGTATGGAAGGGCAAATTTCAGAAGATCCATAGATGTTTGATTGTTTGTCGTACGGTGCCTTCGGATACACAAATAAGTGAAAAATACCTCCATTTTGACCGGTCTTTCGCTATCAAACTTTAATAGACACCCTAAAATGACAGAAGATGTCGAAAACTTTGCTGAGAGTAAGTTCATTCCATCTTCATGCAATACAAAATTCTGCTTCGTTCCTATGTTATGCATTCCTCGTTGTGCGGTTCCCGCAATAAGCGTATCGGAAACGTCAAATATACCTGAATTCGGCCAATTGTTTTTTTACCGAATAACTTTTGCAGACACCCTGTACAGTGGCGTAACGGACTTCCGCTGGGCCCCTCCGCAAAATTTTTTCCAGCCCCCCCCCCAAGTCGATAAAATTTCAAAATTATCTTCCCCTCCCGCCCTTCTCCCTCCCTCGCTCCTTCCCGTCTTTCCTCTTATGGTCGGGGCCCGCAGCACGAAAATTTCTGTAAAAAACAGCCTTAACCACCAAAAATATCAAAATGGCAGCAGCTTATATCTTTTTACCTTTAGGTATGGTATTTGCAGGATTGAGCCTATTTTTACGTTGTATCCTTAGGTTGAATTTGACTCATTTCTCACCGTCCCGGATCCCGTACCCGATTAAATGGGACCACTAAAGGATCAACGATCTAAAGTGGGGCGGGGGCCCAGCCCAGACCCAAGGATCTTTAGGGGGGGCCAGGCCCAAGAATCAAAGGGCCTTGGGGCCATTAGATTCTTGGGCCTCCCCCCTCCCAAAGCCCGAAATACGAGAAGTGACAAAGAAAGAGAAAATTGTCTAGTAATCACTGAGTGGACATTGGAAAGCAGGGACCCTCCAGCAAACAAAAAGTTAGGAACAGTCCGAAAGAAGTATGAAAAACCCCGAGCTAACAATAAAAATCAGAGGACGAAGCCCCATCTCTGTAAGTAGAGGCCAAAAGTTTGAAACCAAACTTGAGCATCAAAAAGAGAGAGAGAAAGAAAATCCCGGCGGCCGAGGGAGGGCCCCCTAGGCGCCTGGGCTGGGCCCCCCTGCATAGCAGGGTCTGCGGGGGCGCCCGTTACGCCACTGACCCTGTACTAACAGCGGAAGTCCGAAGCTATGTAAGACGCTAGTGTTGAAAGAAAGCAGTGGATAAATTTAGGTATTTTTGAAGTGTTCGCCTCACTTTAGGGCGTCTGGCGACAACAATAAAAAATGTAAGGGTCTTAGAAAAATTGCCGTTCCTTAGTGAAGTACAACATATATTTGCTTGCACTTATAAGAGTTACCGATGTCATAACAGGGTACCAAAAAAAATTCTCACACCAAAAATTTGGCGGAATTCAGGTATATTTGACGTTTCCGATACGCTTATTGCG